TCTCTCTCTCTCTCTCTCTCTGTCTCTGTCTCTCTGTCTGTCTCTGTCTCTCTCTTTTTGCAGCTGCGGGGGGGGGAGCTGAGCCTCTCCTCGCAGAAACGACATTTCCTTTTCGGCTAGCCGCGGGAATTCTGGGTAGTGTAGTTCGGCTTCTGTCTCGGGTCCAGGTGGGCTGCTCCTCGTGCCCTTTGAACTCAGCTGGCTTTCCGGGGCTCAGGGAAGGCGGGAAAGGGTTGCCGTTGCCCTGGCATTCCAGGCCTGACTGGGTGGAAACAGTGCAGGGCTCTGGGAGGCTCCAAGGCTGGGAAGTTTGGGGGTGGGGAGAGAAGTTCTAGGAAAAAGGTCCCCGTGTTTCTTGCTCTGTGCTGGGCTTCTGGGCACCCTGACAGGTGGTCAGGCCCGTCGGGCCCCAACTGTGATAAGCACTGTACAAGCTTGATCACTTCATCCACCATCAACCACCCCTGGGTAGGAAACCTATGGTGTGTATTTCACAGAGCAGGACTCCAAAGCTGGGAGATTCCCAAGACCTGCCCAAGGCCTCCCCGAGACAGGTATCGCAGCTGAGACCGGGGAGATCTGTGTACAGAGGTTCAAAGGGGTTTGACCCTGGATGGGGGAGGGGAGGGGGAATCGCTGTTCACCTCTCTAAGCATCTTCAAACCAGTAGCCCCACCCACACCTGGTAACTACCCACTGCCACTCCCAGGCCAGAGCATCTTGAGTGCCAGTGAGGGCAGAGATTGGAGGAGCAGAGGGTTCTGGCCACTTTGAGGTGTTTTCTTTGAGGAGTGATGAGCCAGCCCAGATCCATCTATACCAGCACCAGTTCAGGCCACAGGCAGGAAGGGGCCTGTTGAGGTGGCCACTGCCTCTTGGCCAGCTGCACCCCTGCCCTCGCCTTGCTTACTGCCATGGGGCCTCAGCCTAATGAGGGGTCATCCCTTTCCAGGTCATGGTCTGCTTACAGCCAGAAGATGGGAAGAGCACGGGTCTCCGAAGGACCCCATGTAAATTTCCATTTCCAGGAAGAAACTTTCCCTGGCCTCTACCCCACAGCATCCTCTGGGAACTCAGGGCCTCCGCAAAGCATTCTGCCCCTCTTTGACACACTTCAGCCTTCACATAATTATTATGCTAATAACTTTGGGGGTGTCCATCTCATCTGCCCACACCATCACCCCCAGTGCCTGGAACAGAGAAGACCCCCCTGGCTGGGGTGCCCCCTGAGGGCAGGGACACTGTCCCGGCCACAAGGACATGAGTGCCCCATGAACATGTGCTGAGCTGCACTTGCTCATCTGACGTGACAAGAACAGAGGCCAGAGCCCTAACCTGCTCACTAAGTGGCCAGGCCAGAGATGATTTCCTGGAGTCCTTGATGCCTGTTGGAAGTGAGGTGACACCCTGAAGCCCTGGGCTTGGTTGGCCTGGGTTTGTGATGATGATGATAAAGCACTCACTATGTGGTCTGCACTGCTGAGTGAGTATTGTCTCCGCTATCCTCCTTGACCCCAGGAAGAGGGCTGGACAGACAGACCCAGGGGTCATGTGACAGTGGCTTTCCGGAGTCTGGATGCACACTCAGATCTGGCCAAGTTCAAAGCCCACTTATTTCCTCCTCCAGGCACGCCGCCCTTGCCTGGGGGCCAGCCCCTCCGAGCCCGGATGGAAGTGACGTTAGAAAGCCCTGTGTCCGGTAAGTCCCACCAGAAGACTGCTTGGGTGCCCACGGGGTGAGCAAAATAGAAAACCCCCGTCCCTTGGCCCCAGAGCTGCATCCTCTGCTACGTCACCTCCCATGCAGTACTTGGTCTTGGGCTAGTTCGAGGGCCAGTTCTGCAGAGGGACGGCCCAGGCAGTGTCTTTTTGCCAGGCTCTGAGCTGAGGACGGGACTCCCCCGCCCGGGGCCAGCCCTGATGGACGGAGGGTCTGAAAGGGCTTGGCCCACGCCAGCATCCCCTGTCCTGGCTCCCCACTGGCACTCCAAGGTTCCAGCTGCTCCCCCCAGTTCTCAGCCCCTCCAGCCCTCCTGCAGCCCTGCTTCCTGCTCAGCATTTTCTGGAGTCTGTGGGTGTTGGGCACAGACCCACGGCTGTCTCAGCATATGTGAAGGCCCGTGATACAGCCACACGAGAGGGAAGCGCTGGCGTCTGCAGAACCAAGGAAGGGGACATCTGTTTGTGACGTGCCCAACACCACGGGGACATCCTCACGACCCCCAAAACCTCTCCCCCTCCCTCAGACCTCAGTCTCCCCAGCCTCCTCTGCCTTGATGTCACCAGTGAATGGGAAGGAGCAGGGCTCCTCCAGAGGCTCAGCCGCCACCCCTCCTCGGGGATGGTGAACCCCCCAGTGTGGCAACTTGGGAGCGCCAAGTGCTGTCGGTGGGAAGACAAGGTCCCTCAGTTCCCAGCATGGTGGCCCAGAAAGGCCGTGAAAACCCAAAGTCACACAGCAAACCAGAGGAAGAAACAATCTGACCTCACCCAGCTGGGTTTTAACACGCAGCCCCAGTGAGTCCAGAGTCCTCCCAGGTCAGCAGAAAAAGCCGGATGCAGAGTCTCCTCACTGAGCATCGCTGTAGCCAGGGCCTTTGCATGCATCACCTTCGTGGCTCTCCACGATGACCCCGTGAGCCAGTCCCGTTACCATCCCATTCCACAGGTGAGGATACTGAGGCCTGGTGAAGAGGGAGGTGTGGATGGAACCCACCCCCTGCGCTCTGAGAACTGGAGGCCGGAGGATTTGATATGGCAGGCGCTCTCACCAGCATTCCCTGCAGTTGTAGGGACCAAGATCTCAGGGCCACAGCTGGTCCTCCAAGAACTCTCAGCCTCCAAGGGTGCAGTCATCATGAGACCGGAAAGGCATTTCTCAGGTGGGAAAATCCCTTTGTTCTGCAGATGGAAATGTT